CACATGCACCCTGTGGTGTGTCACCCCCCAATCAGCAAAAGCCAGCAGCTGAACCCCCACCCGCCTCTCCTCCCTCAGCTCCACTTGACCTCCTAATTGTGAGCCTGCCTCTCTGATCCCTGCTCCCTAAATGGCACGCTTCCCAGCTCATCCTCCTGCCCCATCGATCCTCGGCTCCCACCGCACTGAACGCGGGCTCTCTCCTCTACAGCTCAATCAGGCAGAGGATCAACAGCAAAGGCACACCAGGGATTTCTCAAATGCTTTAAAGGTTCCCCAGAAATGAGCCTCTCTCAGACTTGCTCTCACTCAATCTGTGAAATAAATCAAAGATGAAATTATTTATGAGAGTCTAATTGTACAAGATTGTCTGTGAGCACCTACGTTCTTTGGACATTTGTGCATTGAATACAGTAACTGACAGTGCACATCACATGAAAACACAGGAGGGGGGGTTTTCATTTCAGCTGTAAAGCTGGCATCTCATTGAGAAACACTGAAATATTGATCGCCTTTTGAAAAACAGCAGATATACGAAGCAGATATTTGCTGAAAAATGCATTGCTATCATTTTCACATTTCAGAAAGGATTGAGGAAAAATGCATATGACCGTAGTACAAACTGAACATCGTCCCTTTCATGTCAAGAAGAGAAAGCCTGCCGTTCAGAAAGCAATTCACTAAATATACATCAAACTCGCAAAGCAAAAAACAAAAGGAATGCAAAATCAGTACGAGGCACCGTGGCGTACAAATCAGTGTCAATGGGTTATGATTACCAGTGATGTGGGAATAGAAAGTGCCAGCTTTGCGGAGGGAGCAAAATCAGGGGGCTGCACATTGCCTTTGATGAGGATGAGAGAAAATGAGGTTTGTTGTCGTGACACACTTCACGATTGTCACGTCCTGCTGCTCTGACAGTCGAGGCTCAAGTGTTTACAGAGTCTGCTGCAGGGTGGGAGGAGGGCTGGCATTGCGGCAGTGAGTTCACAAGCCTGGTTTTACAGCAGGTTCAGGATGTGCCTGGAGAGTTGTGTTTGGGAAATGAGTTGGCTGGACAGAGAAGGGTAGTGACACAGAAGATCCTCAGGCCGCAGCTGTTTGAAAGCTCCCTGGCCCAGGGAAGAGAATGAGCTGAGTGGGGAGATCCTCATACAATCTCCCGCTAACCCCAAACAACCAAACTTCTGTTCTCCAAATGTGAAGCTAGTAGGAAAGACAACCTCACTGACCTCTGATAACCAAAGGGGTTGGACATACTAAGAGTTTAACAGCCATCTTTGTCAGGTTCATATAATTAGGACGTGCCCAGCAAAACCAACCAAACATTTAACCCAGGGTTTGCATTTTCAAATACTTGTTGAAATTTTCCAACATATGGGGAAGATACACCAAGTGAGACACTGAAATTGTGAAAACGGCATGTACTCATGTTTTCACTGTAACAGGGTATCCACTGAAGGTAATTATATAAGTGAAGGCAGCCACAGCCCTGTCAATTTAAATACTGTTAGCAGCCATTAAGAGCTCATTTTTGGGTATGACTAGACATTGAACAAATGTCAGGATCTGGAAGTCTGTAAACAGTAGGCAGAGTCACCTTTAACAACATGACCAACACTTGTGTAAGCAAGAACTGCTCTGAAACCAGCAAGCATACACAAATCATACAATGTGTGATTGAAATGACTGCTCAAGATTTTACATATAGTCATTTTTTTAACAGCCAACTTTTTCCAGACCCCTCATCTCCCTTCTTGATAAATAAACAGCTGTTCCTAGGTAATGTATGGATCCTGGGTGCCTTGCCATAATGTTACTTATGACTCATTTGGAATCACACACAATTTGCACCTTCACAGACCAAACGTGCTTCGGCTTATGGTCTCACCTCAGAACTTCCCAAAATGCATATTAAGGCCAACCCACACAAAGCACTTCAATACATGCTAGTGCTCGTGCAGTGAATTAGTCCATACAGTCAGGTGTGAAATGGAAAAATGGGAAGCTTGTGTCACCTGCTGGAACACAGAGACAGAAATGCACAGTAAAACGGGGAGCTCTGTGTCGGCCACTACAGAAAGGAAGCACAAAACGGGGTACGCTGTGTCACCCACGGGCACTCACCGGCCACCACGCCGGCCATGTAGAGCAGGCTTATGCGCAGGATGCCGTGCACCATCTCCAGTGGGACGCCGATCATTAGCTGCAGCAGTGCATTGAACCCCAGCTGCTCCAACCTGCAAGGGGCACAGGTCAGAGGTACGGTCACAAACTCTTTTCCTGACTGTTCCCTGTGCAGAATGTCCTGCCTTTAGGGGCTTTGTTACTCAGAAGACCAGCCTCAGTAGCTGTACTGCCAGACCAAATCAGAGCTTACTGCAAAAAACAGTTGAGTCACAGGGCGTTGAGCTTGTTCAGTTTTCCTGCATATTTTCAGTTTCACAGCTACGCATCCTGCTAGCTGTGAACACCTGTAGCACTGTAGTGATGCTGACATTGTTTGGGATATCTTACACATTGCTTCTTGACAGACCCTTCGATGAACAGATCAATATCATAGTGAGCACTGTACAGGTTCAACAAGGGCCAAAAGAGGAGGAAGGTGCCTCTTACCCCACATGCATGAACATGTAGCTGAAGAAGCGCCACACCTGCGCTCGGTGTCCGGGGTGATAGACCAGTGGGCTCTTCATGAAGTCAGGCTGGTATGTCTGCAGCACCCACTTATTCAGCATGATGCCGTAGCAGAGGAACACGATGATCTGGGGGAAAGAGGGGTCAAATACACATGACAAAGGACTGCAATTATGAGCTGATTTAAATCAGAAAAATTATTCTGTGTGTTCAAGCAGGTCTGCGCAAAGAAGGTCAGACATTCACAAAGCAACACGTTTGCCCCCACGCTTAAGAATATTCAGTAGAGGTTATTTTATACAGTAAATAGCATATATGTCTAAATATCCAAAAGAAACAGCCAATAATGTCAGTAATGTATGGTTTACATGGAGGTGCACTGCTTACAATGACACTCAAACACCAACCAGAAACACACACACACACACACACACACACACACACACACACACACAACAAACACAAATGAAATAAATTTGTTTGACAATTTATTGTATTCTACTGCCCTATTGCTCAGACTTGATGTCTTAAACAGACTTGACAATGGACTCTTCACACATCAAGATCTGCAGAGCAGAGCTCAGATGACTGGGTTAAATCATTGTACCAAAGGCAAGGCGGCTAATTTCAGTTATATTACCAAGGTTCCCCTCGCCAGCTGCCTATCCCCCCTTCAGCCTGAGGTTGAGCTGTCCTCAATGACTGAACACTGGTGCCAGAGTTAAGAGCCATTAACTTCACATCCACTCCAATTCACTCCCAAATTGTGTGGTTCAAAGTGTCTCCCCTGTGTTTCATAATTATGGGGGTCTGAGCAATTGCCCTGCCAAACTTATTTACACAGCAGCTTCAATGACAAGTGCAGAGGGCTTATTTTTTGCTCTGTTTTTACTTAAACTTCAAATTTCAAATCTTCAGCCACAAATAGTAACCGGAGGCCAGCAGAACGCCACACATGAATGCACACATGCACGCAAAGTATGGACGCGCACAAACAGCATGGAAAATGTTTGGTGCTGCGTGTGCTGTTTTACTTTTTCACGGAGCATTGAAGCAATATCCCTGGCAAACTAAATGAAAGCAAATGGAGCAGAGGGTTCATTGAAATTTATGAAGCCTTGCAAAATTAAGCCTCTGGTTTGTTATCTCTCCGGCCCAAGTGGTTATGCGAGCCGCATACAGACGTGTGCCTTCTGGGCTGTGGGACCAGCTGCGGAGGCTGCAGAACACCAGTGGAAGAACGCGGGTCAGAAGTACCCCTTTTTCATTCCCCTCCATTACAGTTTTATGAGACAGAGGAAAAGATCACTCTGGCCCTCTTTCAGGAGGGTCAGATGGAACCAGGGCTGGGAGAACAGATGACAGGCTAATCATGCATTCACGCCGAACTGCTGTACGGAGGGAATGGGGGGAACGGAGGAAGGCAGACGCAAAGCAGCACAAATGATTCACAGCTCAGGGGGTTGAGGACTCATACGCACGTTGACACGCCACACTGACAGCACAGTGCTCAGTACTGCAGTGTGCTAAGCCATGCTGAGGCTCCCTCAAACAGGAGCTCTGTGAATGTGATTGGCGCTTCACACTCAAACCTCAGGGGGGGAGTGGACCTGGCTTATTTCAATACAGCTGGTGAATTTAAATGTAATAAGAGGAGGCCACAAAAAAACTATGAGGTTGGGGGGGAGACAAAATTAATAATTTAGTTCCTTTTTTGATAAAAAAATTCTCTACTACAAGGACAGCAATAGTAAGGGTCAGCAACATGTATTAGAGGTCACATTTTAAAATCCATAGAAGGGCACTGTTACCACAGTTTTGAGCCAAGTAAATATTCAACAAAGAATGAAATGTTGTGAACTATGTATATTTCCTAAGTATGTATAAGCATATACACAGAACTGCTTATACGAATAATAATAGTAATAGTATCATAGTAATACAGTACCCATTGAATGCCCTTCAGCTCTTTGTTGTGTGTATGACCGGCCCCTCACCTGCACCACGGTGATGATGGCCATGAAGATGGGCGGCGGGCACAGGCGGTTCTGGTGGAAGTACCAGCGCCTGTCGGTCTCGCAGGGCAGGATCTCGTAGGCGACATAGCGCACAAAGCGCTTGTAGACGCCCAGGCCCGTCTCGTCCAGCAGGATCTCCCTCTGCAGGGTGCGCCGCCCATTGGCGATGGCCCGCCTGAAACTGCTGGAGCGCTTACTGCTCATCTGAGGAGACAGAGAGGAGTGAGGGTGTATATGTTCACTCTTATCCAGAGTGACTTACATATGTTACTATGTTTACATGTCACCCACTTATACAGCTGGATATTTACTCAGGCTTTTTAAGTACCATGCCCAAGGGTGTAGAAGCAGTGCCCCAGCAGGTAATCGAACCAGCAACCTTTTGGTTACAAGCCCTGCGCCTTACCACTGTGCTACACTGCCACCCCAGAGAAAGAGACAGACAAAGACAGAGAAAGAATAAAGAGAGCGAGAGAGAGAGTGAGAGGACGACAGAGGGAGGGTCAGAGGCAGAGAGAAAGATGAAAGAAAGAGAGATGGAAACAGAGAAAAAGAGACGGTTCAGTGCTGATATGTATGTGTGTGTTAAATGCTAGGGAGCATACTCTGCAATCCTTGATTATGTGACGACAGCCACTTACAGCAGGAGACAAATACTTCCAATCCACTTGCTCGTCACTAACTACCATTTCTGTCAGGATAAAGCAGACTTAGATACGACACAGGCTGCAAGAACAAACTGCAGCATGTAGAGAGATACAAAAGAGGGAAACAGCTGTCAGCGACTAACGCATGCTGCATCGCTGACATCTGTGTTTAGCTTCCATTCTAGAAGCTTCTAAAGCAAAGTGCACATGTGCATTACCTTGATAAAACCCCACTCAGCAGTAGAAATTATTTAAGTTTGTTTCAACGAGCAAAGACAGTTCCTCTTTTCAGTGGATTCCCGAAATAACTTCAAGCGGTCTCCCCTTCAAGAGCATGTTGTCATTGTGGCACAGCTCGGTGGGAGATGTGGCTATGAAACATGAACAAGCTCGTGTGTCAGAACCCTGGCGCTCCGGGGTGATCTGTGACAGCTGAAGAGAGGCCTGCAGTTATCATGGAGGCGTCGTGTTTGCTCCGTGAGCTCTCCTCATGCCACCTGCGCCTGGCCTCACCTGATAAGTGCGCAAACACTGATGCCCTTTTCTGAGATCAGTCAATGCAGCATCATCCTTCACCGATCTGGCAGAGACCGCACACACCTTAAATAATCACTACGTCCATACTGTTTGCACACTCTAATCCAGAGCTGCAGCTCTTAAAACCATTCTGTTTTTGTGAGCTTCCCCCACCTCCAACTCTCAAACGTCAGTTCCAAGAGCTGCTTTAGTTGGCCTTTCCTGGAGAGGAATGGAGTCATTACAGCTTGTTCCCACAGAGCCAGCAGAGAAGGAATCGGAAATTCAGCTGTCATTGTCTTGACAGTGCAGAGGTGTGAAAATATGGCTAGCGCTTTTCTCCTGGGTACCGCTGTAGCCTGGTAAGGTCTTGACAAGATTCATAAGGGCTCCTTTGTCTGAAGTGGCACTGGTGGTGATTTGTGAGTCGTCAGCATTATGTGACACCTAAACTTTGAGAACCACTCAACCAATCAACAGGGGCTATGAATCTTATTGGACAACAAGTGTGCTGATATGGGGATAGGAGGGTTTCCTTGCTACAAAGAGAACACCTACACATCATAATACCAGTTCACACAGTAGACCCAAAACAATGACACTACATAAACATGTCCCAAAGGACATTTTACATTGGGATTTGACCAACACATTATAGGATCAGTCTTTGTATTGACATTTCTATGAAGACATGTGTGGGAGCCTGAGAAACAGCTGCTGCACTGAATGGCAGAGCAGATAAGTATAAAACCTTAAAGAACAAGGTCCCGAGGTATTCATTGGGGGCATCCATTAATGTGGAGTAAAGAGATGGTGAGAGAAGAACAGAGGTGTTTGCTGTTACACTGTGAACACATGGGTGGGCTTAACTGCAGCAATCACTTAGGAGTCACTCAAGCAAGGCTCATCAACTCGCAGGGAAGGGGCTGTCGGAGTGTAAAGAGAAATTTCATCCGGGAACAAGCTATGGGGGCAAAGGCAGACACTGACACGGGCCACTACATGCTAAACCATGGTGCCAGTTTTCACTCTTTGCTTGTTTGTCACCCCCTGTTTAAAATCAATACTAAATATCCCCTTCTGCCAGCCTGGCACTGCATCTGTACTTCTGGTGCCAGATCTCACTAGTGCCTTGCAAATCTCAACAGGCGGTGACTATCTCCTCCAGTAGTACTACTACCTCTTTATTTTTAGTTCCCTTTAATCTGCTATTTTAAATCACGGACAGAGACAACGATGAGTGGGGAAAAAAAAACGCTATGATCCAGGGACTCCTGCCAATTACTAATAACAAAATAACAACGCCCACACAATCCCTTTGTTCGTGTGGCATTATTTGGGCAGAACTACATGAGACTAACCTCTGAGTGAACCAGCTAATTAAATAAGTGGGAAAATGCGAGGACAACAAAGAGATTATGGCGTAACAGTTTCCAAAATTTTGCACGACAAATCAGAGAGCACTACATTTCAAATGGGTCAAAATGGGCATCCAGGGACAATACAAATTGGCCTGAAAGACAGGAACCAGTTATTGCCTCAGACACAGCATTAAGATAAAGGAACAAAAACAGGGCATGCTAACAATGATGAGAGTGTAATTACCTTGCAGTGCGGCATGAAACTGACTGCCTTTGAGGACACAGCCACACCGACCTCCTGTTACACTGTAACTAACAAGCCTCAGAGTCACCAAGGAGCCCACTCAGGCCTGTAGAAATCAATAATAATCCATTTGCTGTTGCTTATCTTCTAATTACATCTGCATATGGAACATTAGCATGAAGGAGACTGAAACTACATCTGCAAAGCTATTGAAACAAACAAATAAACAGAACTGGAAAAATAAATATATAATGAGCTCACCAGCTCTGAAAAGGAATAATTTTGAATAAGGAAATAATGTTCAAAGCTGGCAATGGTGTCTGGGAAAGAATGCCCAGAGACACATATTGGGTAATTATGATGCTGAATTGAACAATGAATAAGTTGGGCCTGCTGTACGGTGATAACCACAGCCCAGCTGCTGTTCCTGCAACGCCATGATGAGAAGCACTGCCACTCACTGGTGAAGGCATGCATATATTAGTAAGAAAATAAGGTCAAGTAAGCGCAATGAGAGGTGTAGTTAGGAGACAGCTAGGTAAAGGACAAGACAGAGAAAAATGGGACGTTCTTGGGGCTTCACATGGTTTGGGATAAAATACAAGACTGGGGCACATTCTTTTGCTTTAGTCATGTTTTGATCTTCATCTCTCTGCACAGGAAATAGGAAATGAAGAACATTGTGTGTTTTTGTGTGTGTGTGTGTGCGTGTGTGTGTGCGTGCGTGCACCTGTGTATGTGTGTGTGTGTGTGTGCGCACGCATGTGTGTGTGTGTGTGTGTGTGTGTGTGTGTGTGTGTGTGTGTGTGTTTGGGGGTGGGGAGACATTTGAAAAGCACAGGGGTGTTGTACTTGTATTTCATTTGTTACCACAGTTTGATCCGCTGCATTCATGTGTATGGTTCATAAGGATCTGATCATGGCTTGTTCTCCTAAACACTTGCTGCCTTTTTCAGGTTTATGCATTTTAGCATCCCTGGGAGACACACTTGTCATCCCGCCTTACATGCAACACTCCGTAATGACAGCGCTAAGTGAACATTAATTCCCTTTGAAGAAGAGGACACGAAAGCGTGAGCAGACAATGAAATGCGTTGCGTCTTCGTTACGGGAGCAGAGCGCGTGACTGCCGAGCCCAAGACATTTGTCAACTGGATGCCACTAAGAGTTCTGTGTCACATGACGTGATAGCGTGTCCCTGTGAGTACCGGAGAAATCACAAGTCTGAGTGTGATGGTTTGCGTATCACCAGCGCCAAAGCACCATGAATCCTCCAAATAGCACAAAGGGTCTGCTTGTGGAGAGCAACTAATGAGTGAGCGGTTGCACTTGATCTGTAACCTCACTGCCACACGCTGTCTTGTGAACAAACAATAACAAAAAACTCTCTGGTTACCTTTCCCTGGTGTCCATCCATTCCACCAAGGCTCTGAAATGCTTAATGTTTCAGAAGACTTTAAGGTGCATTTAGGTAATGATATGGGGTGCACTTCAGTTATGATTGGCTTTTAAGAGCTAACAAAAAGGATTACAAGCAACATTTAGTAGCTGTGATCACAGGCGGCACACTGGAGAAAGAAGGACGCCCAGGACAGAGCTGCCAGACAAGGCTGAGGTATTCAGTTTGAACAGCACTACCTACTTTACACATATCCACTGAATTTAGCACCTCCACAGAGATGACTGAGGCCTCACAGAGACTGGACGAATCCCCTTCGCCCTTCCCTGTGTGCTGCTATTCCTCCGTCATGTACAGCTAGCAGAGGGCCCTTTGATTTGGTCTTTTCGATTTTTTTAAATACACAGGCATATGGTTAGTTTTGTGTGGAGGCAGGGTGGCACAACCCTCATCTGATGAGAGCCTGTGCTGGAATCACTATAAATATAAAGCGGCTCTTGGCGCTGCTTCTATGTGAATCGTTCCCAGATAATCCTTTTGTTCCCTTCAGCTGGGGCCAAGTCCACAGTGTTGCCACCCAGGCGGAGGAAGTGGACGGCCCCAGTGGAGCAGGGGAATTATCCTGTGAGCGTCAGCATGCATTACCGTGATGTAGCATAAAACTGCAGTTTAAAGGGGCTGGGTTTTGCACCAACAGGACCAAGCATACACAGAGATGTACACACACATCCACACTATCTTTCACACACAGACACACACACACACACACACACACACACACACACGCACAGAGTGAGGCGCATTGAGTTTTGGGGGCCTCTGAAACTCACTCACACAGAACAGGCACTGGACCAAACTCCAGTGGGACCTGCACTCTCCTCCCTGCTGCCTGTTATCTGCTGACCCAGATGTGCATTCTGTATCACAAAAAGTCTTTTAAGACGAAAGTTCACCTGCATCCAGAGTCACACCCCCCCACCCGCCTTTCCCCACCAAAAAACAGAGAAACACACTTCGTGTATTAAGTATAAGGGTCTAAAAACCTTCATTCCCAGACACTCAAGTAAAGTGTTCCTGTCCAAAGGAGAAATGCACCTTAGAGCAGAGAGGCACGATGGTGGTGCACAGAGAAGGGGAGACTCACCCGCTGCAGGAGACCTGCACAATCTCTCTGCACGTGCGATCGCCCTCACTGTTCAGATCGCCCGTATCAAAGTGTTAAAACTCTCGGATGCGGCACCACAGCCACAGCGTAG